CATTTGTGGCAACACCAAATCACAGATCCACAATAAACCAAGAGCAAAAACCAGGATAAATACCAAAATGTCTACATCTAGGAGTATCATCTGCAACTGCAGAGAACCAAACATAAGAAAACCTTGAAAGAAGCCAGAAGAGCAAAACAACTAGAATTATGCGGCCTTCTCTTCAGAAACTATACAAAAAGAAGAAAATAGCATGCTTAATAAGGTAAAAGAAAAACTTCCAACCTAGAATTCTGTATCCAGTGAAATTATCCTTCAAAAGTGAAGAAGACTTTCCCATGCAAACAAAAATTGAAGGAATTGGTGGCCAGTAGGCCTACATGCAATAAATGTTAAGCTTATCATAACAAGGCAGAAACATGCAGCTGCATAAGGAAAGGAAGGTCTAGAGAAGGGATAAATGACGGCACAATGAAATCTTTCATATTTCTTATTCTTAATTGGTCTCACAGATAATAAGTACTCGTAATTCTTATTTCATGATTAGAGCTTCTGGGTAAGTAATGAATGACAGTGATGTTATAAGGATGAGACCAAGGAATTGGGAATGGTGCTTTGGGTACTGTGAAGTAGTATAGTATTATTTGAAGGTAGACTTGAGTTAGTTATAAATACATGTTTTCTTTCTTTTGTGTGTGTGTGTGTGGTACTGGGGATCAAAATCAGGACCTTGCACTTGGGAGGCAGGTGTGGTACCACTGAGCTAAATCCCCAGCCCTAAATATGTATTTTCAAACAAACTCAGGGCAGCCTAACAACAGTATAAAAATAAGAATTATAATTGATATTCCTAAGAGAAGAGAAAAATGGGATCACATAAAAATGCTTAGTTAAAATCAAAAAAGGTAGAGAAGAGGTATAGGACAAAAAATGCATATTAAAAATAAAGGGATAGAAAAGCTGTGTCAAGCTAAAGCTAATCAAGAGAAAGCCATGGTGACTGTATTTGTATGAGATAGAACCAGCATTGGACCAAGCATCACATAGTGGTTCAGGTGCACAGAGAGGCTCCCCTAGGAGGTGACAGTTAAACTGAGGCCCAGGGGAGCAGGGGAACCAGGGAGGGCAGACAGGGTGGAATCCCTGAGGAGGGCCTGGGTTTTGAGAATCTAAAGAAAGAAAGGCACCACTGTGACCAGAGGAGCAGGGAGATGCTGCAGAACCTCCTAGGACATTGCAGAGCCTGGGCCTTTGCCTGACTCAAGGCCTTGCAAAAGGCAGTAAGTCCGTTCTCAGAATCCCTTACCATCCTAAGGCTATGCAGGTGTTCTCATGTCTTGCAGAAGCTGTATGGTTTTAGCTGTACTATTTCAGGTTCTTGTCTCTGTTGGGTTGGTGTGTACCGAGGCAGAAGGCAAGGCGCCCTCTTTCCAGGGCTCTGCAAGTGCTCCAGGGTCTTTACCAAGCGAGAGTTCCCTCTTCCCGTTGAATCCACACGCTGCCTTTGTCACAGATCACTTAACACGTGCATGCGCCTCTCTGTTCCATCTATGTGTTTGTCTATTCTGGTGCCTCTTTTGATAGTGTGCCTTGAAGGCAGGTAATGTAAGTCATCTTAGCGAATTATGTCTTTTCCATATGAATTTAGAATCACCTGACCCATACCTATTTTTTTTTTAAAGCCTGCTAGAATTTTGCTTGGCTTGTGATTGAATCTATAGCTCAGTTTCAGAAGAGTTGACATCTTAATAACATCAAAACTTCCAGTTCATGAAGGTTGTACATCTTTGCATTTATTTAAGTTGGTGGTTTTTCTTTTTCTTTTGTATTACTAAGGATTGAACCCAGGGTCTTTACACTGAGCTAGATCTTCACCCCTTTAAAAAATTTATTTTTAGAAGAGTTTCACTAAGTTGTTAAATTACCCAATCTGGGCTCAAACTTAGCATCCTCCTGCCTCAGCTTTTCAGAGTACTAGGATTACAGGTGTGCACCACTGAACCTGGTTTATTTAGGTTGTCTTTAATTTCAGTACTGACTGGTAGTTTTGAGTATAGATGTCTTGCACATCCTTTGTCAAATTTTAATTTTTTTGATACTACTATAAATAACATTGTTAAAATTTTTTAATTGTTAGCTGCCAACATTCAGAAATATAATATAAAATATGTAAATACAACACAATACAAATATAATAATTATATATGATATTTATATTATATGTAAGTATAGTATAACTCCTTTGAGGTGCATATTATATCCTGTGACCTAATAATAATTTACTTATTCTAGTTAAATTCCTGTGGATTTTTTGTGAACAAAATCATGTTATCCACAAATCAAAATTATTTCATTTCTATCTCATCTTTATGTTTCCTTATTTTTTTTCTTCCATCTCTTTTTTTTTATGGAAATAACATGACTTAAAAATATTGACTAGAAGAGGTGAATATAGACATCCTTGCCTTTTCAGATCTTTGGGAGGAATCACTTAATATTTCACCATTAATTGTTTTTCCCTTTCAGATATTATTAAACTGAAACAGTTCCCTGGTATTTCAGTTTGCTGGGGGTCTTTTCTTAGTTTTATTTGTTTAATCATGAATGAGGGTAAAATCTTACACAATACTTCTTCTGAATTTATTAAGAAGGTCATATAGGTTTTTTCCTTTATTAATGTGATAAATTGCATTGATGGGTTCATTATTAACATGTTCACGATGGAGCCATACTTTGTATGCCGTGCTGCCAGGTGGCTTGAACCGATTGTCCATGCACAACTGCCCCATCGAGCAGCACAGTCATGCCTGGGACAGTCATGCCTATACCGCCGGTGGTTCAAGCCTGAGGGAATGTGTTGAACCAACATGATTTCTTATAGCCAGTCCTGCTTGGTCAAGATATGTTGTCCTTTTGTATGTTGCTAGATTTAATTTACTTTCAGTTAGTAAAGGACTTTTGTATTTTTGTTAAGGAACATTAGTCTCTAGTTTTCTTACCATGTCTGCTCCTAATGGGCAAAGATTGTCCTCCACTCACCATGTGTCCCAAGCTCCTTTCCCAATGCCAACCACGGCAAAAGTGCTTTACAAATGTTACTAGGAGAAGGCCAAAGCCTAAGCTGGAGATGTGTGTTCATTAATTTAAATTATGTGAAATATTAATGACTGGCTTGCTCAGCAGATGTTTGCATTCCAGCTAGTCCTCAGCACATTGCTGCTCACCAGAGCACCCGCTCCATTTCCAGTCACTGCTCCATGGCCTTCTCATCATTTCTTATGTCTCCAGCCCCTGGAATTGGAAGGCCACAGAATATAGTCCTTGAGCTCTTCTCTTGCTCTTTGCAGGCATATACAGTCTCCCAGCTAGAAATTTCATCAGCATGTGACTCTTACATGTATACATCTACTGTAGGCCTCCCCTGACTTCTAGCCTGGTTTAGCCACAGCCTCCTTGATCCATCACCGCTGATGCCTAACCTGCATCTCTCAGTTAGAATGTCTCAGAGCGAGCTGGGAAGGACCCTTCTCCATATCAGGTAAAGGTAGCCCTAGCCTTCTGGCTTCCAGGCCAGAAATTATGGCACCATCTCTGATGCCTCTCTTTCTCTCCCAGCTCATCAGCCATCCTCTATAAATTCTGTCAGCCCCAGGTTCAGAACATGGTATCTCCAGAAAGCCACCATCTTGCCCACATCTGCCACCATTCTCTTCTAGGCTGCCATCCATCCATCTCTTGCAGGAGTATTCACTAGTTCCCAAGTTGATTTTCCCTTTGCAGTTTTCCCAACACAGGGCCAAAACAGTGCCTTTAAAATATAGGTTAAATTGTATACTCCATTTCCTCAAAGCCCTCCAGAAGGCCTCTGTTTTACTCAGAGCAGAAATCAAGAGACTCCTTCTTTCCTACCTTGTTCATGCGTTCCCCCTTGTCCTAGCTCTCACTGTGGCTTTGCTGCAGCTGCTGTTGCTGCTGCTGAAATGTGCTATTCCTGTTCTGCATTTGCTTCCTGTGGCTTAGAACAGTTCTGTCAGGTAACCTCCTAGCTATGGTCCATCCCCTACTTCCTGTGGATCCTTACTGAAATGTCACCTTCTTCTACTGCCCTCCTGTCCATTTCAGAAATACCAAAACAATTCTGTTGCTGTTCTCTGCTTTATTTTTCACCTTAACACTTTTAATACATAACAAATACATTTTATGTGTCTACTAGCTGAAATCTACAATAAACTTAAAACTCAGTGAAATTGGGGAAGTTTGTATCATTCATTGCTGTATGCTCAATGAATAGAATAGTATCTATCATGTAATAAATGTTTTGTGAATAGATGAGGAAGTGAAAGAATGAATGAATATGAGTTACCAGTCCCTGATCTTGTGGGGCTAACAAGCTCCATATTAGTGAGTAGAGTTAATGAAATATTAATGGGGGAGAGGGGGGAGGGAGAAAGGGAGGGAGGGAGAGAGAGAGAGAGAGAGAGAGAAGAGAGAGAACCACAAGAGACAGGAATGCAGACATTGAGGGTCACCCCAGAATTGGCATGGGTCCAGCAGAGGAAAGCCAGGCCTCTGTCTATTAAAGAAGTGGGGAAATAAGGATGAAGCATTATGGTGGCAGCAGAGGGAAAAATGAAGAAGAATGAGGACTGCATTTAGCACCGTGCAATTACTGACAGCGATGGGTATCGTCTCCTTTAAGGATCATGCATCGGATCCATCGCAGGAATGTTACCAAATCAATCTGTGTCCCATATGGAATAATCTACATTATGTAAGCACTTAGGGTCATGTCATTTCTAGAAATGACAACACAGAAAAAAGCCTTGGTGATAATTTGCCATGCAGAGTTTTGCTGGAGAGTCCCTTCCACAGGGGCCTTCTGGAGCAGTCTTGCTGTCCTTGACCTGGGTCTTGTGACAGCCAGCGTCTGTCTTGTGGGTGACAGCCTGTGTGTCCATTCCAGGCCTCAGATGTCAGTCATCTGTTCTCCTCTTTGGTTGGACTCTTACCAGACAGTTTTTGAAAACTCCTTTTCTGTTTTGAATTCTCAGGTGCCATTTTTTGGGCCTCTGTTCGATGGAGCCATCGTGAATGGGAATCTGCTTCCGAGCCTTATCTGTGCCACGTGCATCAATGCCAGCCGGGCCGTGAAGTGCCTCATACCGCTCTACCAGAACTTGTATCTTTTTGCTTTACATGTGCCCCTCACAAGCCCTCCCAGCACCCAGATTCCTGGCAGTGTTTCATGTGAGGTAAGTATTAAAAAGCAGAGAATCTTTCTCAGTCTGTGTTGAAAATAACACAGTGTGATTTGCTCCATACCACCTGCTAATCTGTACTAAATGTAATAATTTTGTGCTGCATCAAACTTAGGAAGAGTTTATTTTCATACTTTGCTCATGGAAGTGTTTGTCTCAGATGATGTGACTGTCACTGAATCTCCTGGCTCCTTAAGTGTTTCTCCCCAAGTTTAGGCTCCTCGTCATCCTCCCTAGATGTCACAGTCCACTGTATGTGAGACAGATGCAAAATGTAACGGGCTCGTTCAGGGCACCTCCCAACAGCCAAAATCAAATGAGCTGACTAATAAATCAAAGAATGTGGCAGGTGCCACCTGAGAAGTGCAAATAGAGTTCTGGAAGGTCAGCAGAGAGAGCGGCGGTGTCCGGCTGGGAGGAAGGGAAGGCATCCCAAATGAAGTATGTTTGAACTCAGCAAGAACGGCCAGAAGTCATTTTGTTATTTTCCTGAATCATTAATATCTTTTTCTCTAGTTCACTATCTTGGCTCTAAAAGCAGAAATTTTTTTTTCTAATTTTTTCTCAAACATAATTAGCATGGTGTAATCCTTAAGTCCAAGCATGAGTCTAATTATAAGAAAAAGAGATTAAGGTGAGTAGCTTCATAAAATTGCTTCAAAAAAATCTGACCTCCTAATAAAACTTAGTCTCTTTGTTCTTAGTTGGTATTGAAAATGATAAAAAAAATAACATGTTGTATTTGACCTTTCTCCTTATACTTCTCCCATACTAATTGTAAGTGGTGGGTTCCTAGCGGGTGGAGGGTGAATGAAAAATATTACATGTGAGTAGATACAGTTTGTGAAAAATACCTTTCCTTAAAACCCTGGTCACTTCATTGCCTGATTCTGCCTTTAGATTAAAAAAAATACATATGCCATGTGGCAACTGAGAATTATCATAGAAATTAGTGGTAGAAAAGAGCGATTAGGTCCCATCTGGTCTGTCCCCTGGGACCAGGCAGCCGTGTTCCCTCCAGCACTCTCTCCTGCTTTGTCCAGGCTGGTTGTAAGTGTGGGGACAGGATCTAGGCAGTGACTACTGCAGCACTCTAGGCTTCATCTTAACGCAATCACAACCATTTAACTGCTCTCTTCTTTAACTTCTGCTATGGAAGGACTAGAGAAAAATTAAGAAAAAAAAATTTTTTGTGTTTTTATTCTTTAAAAGTAAACTAATTTTTGAAGCTCCACACATTTCCCTGGCTAGGCTATTCATAATTAGTTGCTCCTTTAATGTCTCATTAAAACATGAAGGCCCACACATCCTTCGGCCTGTTTGATCCTGTCATAGCTCATGTTCAGAATTGCTGCTTCATCAGTACATCTCAGGTTTGAACATCGAAAACATTAAATAACCCAACAGACTCTGATTCTGCATGTCTAATTACAGGTATTTGTTTAGTAAACACGCAGTTCTTGTGGACTGTCTGCCAGGTCAATACAAGGAACAGGGACAGGGAGGTCAGGTCTTAGAACTTGGGCCTCACACAGAAGCCAAACTGGAAGTGCGTACATCCATCAGGAGTAGTTCTGCGAAGAAAGGAAATAGAAAATTGAGGGGAATGAGGGTGAGAGCAGGGGAGACCTCTCTGAGGAGAGATCATCTGGGCTTGGGTGGAGGTTGGAGGCTGGAGGAAAGCCATCCCCCAAGGGCAGAGGTGACATCCTAGCAGCAGGCACAGGACTTGGTGTTCTGGAGTGGTGAGCATTGTGTTGGAGAGGTTGGAGACCAGCCCCAAGTCCATCAGGGTGCCTGGGACAGATCCAGAGCCATCTCTGGTGGAGGGGGTGTTCTGGCTGGTCCCTGAAGAAGTCTCCTGACTCTTCCTCCTGCATACCTCAGAAGTTTTTATCTTAATAGAGAACCCTGGGTAGAATGGCCAGGGCCACCTGATGGTGGGGCAGCAGGTGGGGAGGGTGTGCAGGGGCCACCTCCACCCTGCACCATCCCTAGGAGCTGGGGACCTTGGGCATAACTTGATCCACCACATGGCATAACCTTCGGTCCAGCACCAAGCTCCTGACTTGTCATAGTACAGTACTTTTATAATTGCTATTCAATGGCACTCTAAAAAAGGAATATTAAAAATTTGAATAATTTTATCATTCTTAGATTGTGCAATTCCAGTTTAATGTATAAATCTAAGAACTTCTAACTTGTATGTGGAAAGAATTGCATAGGGTCCCCTGGGCAGCTGGTGTTTCTCCTAGAGCTATTATTTTCTTTTTTCATCCAAAGCAAGTTCTACCAGCAGGAAAATGTGAGCCCAGTACAGTCAGCTTCCCTAAAAGTGCAGTCGTGGGGAAACACCTACTTCATGGTGCAGCTCAGACCACAGGACTGTGAAGCCCCACCTATTCCCTAAACCCCACTGTGCCCTTGTAGTCAGTCCTTCTCCTAAAGCCTAGCAGTCCATCCCTTGGCAAACCCAACAGGCTGGTAAACAAGTTCCTTAAGGTAGGAAGTTGTCCCTTCATCTATGCATACCACCTTAGAAGAAAGGGACCAAAAACCCAAGAAAGAACTGCTGTTAATGTTCCCTTGAGATACCAGGTACAGCCATGAGTGCTGACAAAGAAAAGGAAGTTTCGTTGGCAATCCAGGCCATTCTGTGTGGGCAGCCCTGATCACCATTTTGTTGCTAGTACATCATATCTTGTTATTCAACTCCTTTGAAACTCACCAAGTTTAATACTTGACCATTTTGATGCAAAAATTTTGTCTCAGTACTTGTCATTTGTTTGGCACTTGAAGTGCAGGCTAGAACATGTTGGGTCAATTGCCTTGTGACTCCTCCCCTTTGCAAGTACACTTCAGTACTCCTCATGCCTTCTGGAACCCATTAATGACAGGTAGCAAGGTGTCACCGTATTTGGATTACAGCTGTTAAGTAGAAAATGGCAAAGCTGCTCCTTTGTTCTCAATGTCATTCATTCCCTGGTTATCAGAAGGACATTCTATAAGCCCATAGTTCAGACTGTCTGTAAACCCTGTGCTGGGGGAAATTTGCTTTGTTGTGTCAGTCATACATAACCAGATATCGAACCTAGTGACACATGAAGAAAAGAGCCAGAAGAGTTGCTTTGGGGTCATTCTGTGCTTCCGTTTGCTTTCCAGTGAGGGACTGACATGTAACAAGGTGGGTCAGTTAGGACTCACTCTCACAGAAGATTTAACTAGAAGTAGAAATGTGCATAGTTACATAAAAATTTGTTCAATAATGTTCAAGAAAATACAGTTTCTGATTAAGCTGAGATTTGGGGCTTTGCTGGAACAAATTTGCCTTTTGGGCTTTTCTTTTTCTTCAGTAAATCCAGTGTAGAATCAATATAAAGAGTTCTTGTTTGACATTCTCTTGGCTAACTGATCAAACAGTCGGAACTCTGTGGCAGAAGTACATAGAAGGCTGAAAAATACCATTGTTTTATGTGATCAAAACAAAACAAAAAAAAGAAGTGAACACAGTAGGGCTGTGTTTGGAAAGCACCCTCCTTAGCACTTAAGCCCGCCCCCTCTCCCTCCCTCATTCTCCTGTAACCTCCTCCGTGGGCACAGTCAGATCTGTCAAATGGACCCTTCATCTCATGGCCACTGCTCTTCTGAGTAATGAACACCGCCTCACCTGCCATCTGCTTTTGCAGCCCTCCAGACCAAGCAGCAGGCCTCTTCCTGTGCTGAGAGTGCTAAATGGGAAGCCTGCCACGTACTGTGTTTATGGCTCCCAAGCCAGTTGAGGATTCCAAAATGAGACCCACCTCGGCCGATGAAGTTTCCAATACCATTAAAGCAGGGCTTTCACGCTCCTTGTCAGATAACTCGTTTCAGGAAAGGGTTGCTGCACAATATGCAGTGTGCCCATTAGGGGAGTTCACCCTGAATTAAACAGATGGCGGCTTTTTAGAATAAGCGTCCACTTCAATAGAACAATAGTCTTGATGGCATTCACCACCTCCACTCTCTGGAACTGTCGGCATCTGACGGGCAGCCGAGCTGCCTGAGGGAAAGTGATCTGGTACCTCATTCTTCTACAAGAGAGATTTACTTGGGCTCTCAGCTAACGGACTTGAGAACACCAGAGCCTCTCTCAGACCCTGGCTTCTCAGTATCATTGCTAGGTTCTGCTCAGAGCACACAGGTCTGCAAACATAGCCCCCCTCCCTAAAGCTGTAAAACCTGTTTCTTTCTCCACCATTGGGATCTTTGACTCTGTTTTCCAGGCAGATCTTTAATTTCTTCCATTCATCTTACATTTCAGAAAGGAAGTTGAACCTCAGGTTGTATTTTGGCATATAGAATCAGTTCTGCATTTCCTAACATGCATACCGTTACTGCTCTGTGCCAAACACTGTCCTAGCCACTAGGACTACAAGTATGAATGAGGTCGTTCAGGTCAGGGGCAGTATTTGCTCATAGGCCAAGCTTTGGAAGAGTGCATTGCCTTTGAGAAGAGCAGATGCTTTGAGTAGCAGAGATGGGGTGCGCATGTACACACACACACACACACACACACACACGGGGAGGGTGGAGGTGAGGAGTGTGTGAGAGGCTGGAGGAGCTGTAGGAGAGCGAGGCCTGAGCTGTGGCTGTAGCAGGGATGGCTGGACTCTTAACACAGGAGCCGGGCTGATTCCACATGGAAGATGCTGGATGTGCTGGCATGTGGACAGTGACTAAGGAAGAGAATTTCTAAATTATTTTCATTAGTACATGTCTTTAGTACCTGATGGTTCATTCCTCATGAGGAGTTGGTTCCTGCACATAGCACATCTTAATTCATTTTTCACCCCCTTCCCCTCCTTTCCTTTTCTTCCCCTCTATCTCTTAGGGAAGAGAATTATACATAGGAATCTCTAGAGCATTTAGAGTAGATTTGGAA